AGAGAGAGAGAGAGAGAGAGAGAGAGAGAGAGAGAGAGAGAGAGAGAGAGAGAGAAAGAGGAGAGATAGAGAGAGAGAAAGAGGAGAGAGAGAGAAAAAGGATAGAGAGAGAAAGAGGAGAGAGAGAGAGAAAAAGGATAGAGAGAGAAAGAGGATAGAGAGAGAGAAAAAAAGGATAGAGAGAGAAAGAGGAGAGAGAGAGAAAGAGGAGAGAGAGAGAAAGAGGAGAGAGAGAGAGAAAGAGGAGAGAAAGGGAGGAGGGAAGAGAGAGAGAGAGATAGAGAGAGGGAAGGAGGGAGAGAGCAAGCGGATGCAAAGGCAAGAGACACAGAGAGAGAGAGAGCGAGAGAGAGAGAGAGAGAGAGAGAGAGAGAGAGAGAGAGAGAGAGAGAGAGAGAGAGACGGAGGACCAGATTCCAATGTTTTATGTCCATGCTAACTCCAGAGGGAGAGAGAAAGAGGGGGCGAAGAGGTGGGAGAGAGCTACCGGACATGAAGCGAGAGAGAGAGAGCTGCAGACGCAAACACGAAAAGAGAGAGAGGGAGAGGGAGAGAGTTTCCGAGGACCAGGTTCGATTGTTTTACGTCCGTGCGAATTTGGCCACACAACAGGCTAGATTCATGCTAACGTCTTAAATTAATATTAGCACCAGCCGGAGCTCGCCTGAAACAGTGTCGTCGCAGGGACGACGGTCTTCGTGTGAGATCTAATTTTGGAAATGAAAGGGTAGGACCCTAAACATTAAAAACAAATTAATTATTACTTATTTTACTTATTTAAAATAAAATAACATAACATAAGCAAACCTGTGATCGACACGTCTGGAGAATTCACGTTGATGTCATTCGATAGCAGATAACAACAACATCAACAATAAAGAGTGAAGTGAAAATGGGAAGAAGGGAAAACAAAACAAAAAAGAAGCGCTCCATGCGTCACACCTCTTCCTCCCGCTTCCTCTTCTGAGATTCCCTAATGACCGGTTCAGCGTTCATCTCCCTCAGGTTTGCCAACTGCAGCTCTCGACCGCCAGATTCCGTCCTTTGACTGCAAATCTGGCAAACGTCGGCCGAATCGAGTTCTTCCCCTTGCAGACACTTCTCCACCCATTCAACCAGACGCGGAAGATCGCCGGTCGCCGGTCCCGACAATATGACTTTCCCGTAGTCCGTCTCTATTGTCGCCGTGCCTGCAACCAAAACAAGCCGCAATACCGTCGGTTTGTATCATCTCTCTCTCTCTCTCTCTCTCTCTCTCTCTCTCTCTCTCTCTCTCTGTG